AATTTAAAAAAAATATTAACAAAAATTTATAAAAAAAATACTAATAAAATTTCGTCTATATTATAATATAAAGGTATTTTAAATAAAAAAATGAAAATAAAATTTTATATAATTATATAAAAATTATGATTATAAAAAAATGATTATAGAGAAAGAAACCTATATCTTTAAACCATATTTATAAAAAATTTTTATATATATTTTAAAAATATTTTATACATATCTTATAATTTAATAGACTAATTTTGATACTTTACAATTTTAATTAAAACCAAAAAATAAATTTACTTAGTAACAATTTATATAGGAAAATTCTATTTTCACTCAGGTTAAAATCACCTGATATATAATTTTTATTATACTATATAATATAAATTTATATAATATCATAAAATTCATCTATCCTAACTACTAACTAACCAGTTTATAGAATTTTTAGTTGGCTATAGTAGTTTGTATTATATAATATAATAGAAATTATATATTAGGTGACTTTAACCTGGGTGAAAATAGAATTTCCCATTTATCTAATTTGATCAAACCAAACTATTTGACTATTAATCAGTAAAATTTTGATTAACCAGCAATTTGACCAACTCTGAATATAATATAATTATAAAATTTTAATAACTACTAGAACTACATCCCATAAAAACCAATCAAATTTAAAAATCAGATATAACATAATACAATCAAAAAAATTCAAAACATTTATTTTGTTAAAAATTAATTATAACTCAAAATTAAGTATATGAAATTACCCTTTGGGTTCTAATAAAAAAATTCTTTGCTAAATTTTACTACAAAACACACCTTTTTACCCGCATGCTATCTTTATCTCACCCTAACCCTAACTAACAAAGAAAAGGATTATTTTAGTTACAGCTACGGTAACCTATGGCTACAAAGTTATTAATCCTTGAAGAAATATTGAATGTTTTTTGCTGTCCGTTACTGTATAAAATTATTAAAGAAACGAAAATTTCGAAGTGTTAGGTGTTAATATCATAACATCAATACTACGGAATTAGCATGGAAAATAATAAAGATAAATATTACTATTGTAAGTTAATGGTTTTGTATTTTAAAAATTAAAATTTTTATGAATATTCATTTTATTCGCGTTGATTAGTCTAAGCATAAAAGTTATTTGCATTTAAATTTTAAATTTATGAGTCGTACGAATAACGTGAAATAATTACAATTGCCAATTAGAGATTCGGATTGTGATAAATGTGCGTATTGTGCGAATATAATACGAGTGATGCATGGTGTCAAGCATGACGATTTAATGATCGAATATGTTCGATCATTATCGACCGACCATACTCAAAAAAATTTTTTTATAATCGGTCACGATCAAACAAATCAATTGATTGATCATTCCCTAGTAGATTATTATCTCTAGCCAAGACCTCCCCAAACACCACGAATTCTTCGGGCAAGTTGAATGTCCTTTTGCATAATCGTGACGCGTTTCGCGTGAATAGCACACAAATTGCTATATTTGAATAAATAGTAATCTTTTAACTTCAGTAATAATGATCCAACTAGAATGATAAATATACTTACGCATCTTCAAACAAATGTACAAGGTATGCCTCACAAGCTAAATAAAATAAATAAATAAATAATGTAAAAGGTGATCAAAAAAGAGTTGATTTAACATAATTTAGGTTACCTTCTTGAAGGGCCAAGATTGCAGATGATTGCCATCGATAACCTACGGTAGCATCTGGTTCCATAAGTTCTATGGCAATCTCTCTAACCTAAAATAATACAATATTTTAATATGGTGAAAAAATCAGATTCAATGATGGGCAAAATATACAAACCACGCGCGAAAATGGTAATTTTCTCAAAAGGAGATTAGTAGACTTTTGATACTGTCGGATTTCACGTAAAGCCACTGTTCCGGGTCGGTACCTTCTAGGTTTTGCTGGTGCCACTGGATCTCCAGCTTCAGCAATTCAAGTTGATATTTTATTAAAGACCAAAATTTAACCAGTGAGACTGTTGTTTGGGAACCAAACTTACGCCTAGATCTTCTCGTCGAAGGAGTACCACTACTTGAGGTTGATACATTACTACGCCTAGGCAACTTTTTTGCTGTCGCCAATTTACGTCTAGGCTGTCTATTGGAAGAGACTTGAGCATTTCTTGCCATGAGTTTTTAAACTCGGAACGAATTGTTTGCAAATGAAGAGCTCTATTTCTTAACAATGTCGAAAAATCCGGGTATGAGACGCGTTCTCACGTAAGTACTATATGAAGTAATAATGCGCAAGATGACTTGACTATATCAGGATGTTCAATAATACATTTCATGTGATCTGCATCACTGCAACCACGAGTTTTTTAGAGTAATACAAGAAAATTTAATGTGTGTTAGGCTCGTCATTAAATGACGGAAATAGGCATTTACTACCTCACTTCCTTTTTGATTGGTCGCAGGTAAATTTCACTCCTGATTGGACGAGATCGTTGACGTAATGCGAGTTCGCCATAGTAGGTTAGTGCAGTGTTTAAAATTGGCTTGCACAAGATGCACATGTGCAGAATCCACCAGGGCGGCCACGAATTTTCGGACGGTCTACGGACACGTACCAATTCACGTGATTTTGCACGTACAGTATCCTCCAAAAGTTTATCACGATTATACAAAAAACTTAACATAAAATTCGTAAATATGCAAATTTAGCAATATATTATTATTACTCAAATTAATAATATG